CTCATTTCCACTTTATTATCGCTTTCTGGCCCACGTGTGATAACATCATTATACATGCCCCATTTAAAACTTAGATCAGTTGTAATTTCCTTAAGGCCTTTACAGACTGCCAGAAATAGTGCAAATTGAGGCCACTTTGGGACCACATCCAGTATTTCCCTAAGTTTACTGAAATCAGCTCTAGAATGAGTGTCTGACTATGCGTGGCTTCTCCTTTCCAGTGCATAATAAACTCCAGGAGAATATGATTACTTCCACTTAAGGATCCCACCACTTGCACCGATTGTCCAGGTCATCCCTGGGGTAATATAATGAGTGTAATATAATATAAAATGAATGTAATGTAATAATATAATGTCATGAATAGAACGAGCAAATGCCAGGAGAAATTGCACCATATGTCCCAGTGTCCTGCCCCAAGACATATAATTGGTTATGCTTTTCAAGGTCATCTAAAATATGTATATATACAGAAATGCTACACTGTCTGGTCCCTTTATTTCTATGGTCCTGTAATTTGGTAAGTGTTTTCAAATCCAATGATTTCTCTCAAAGGTATGCATAACTTTGATAAGATCTATATGGACATTTTTGTATCACTGATGAGTGTTGTCCTATCTTTTTAAATATCATATTTTAAGTGTATTTATATTTGTTTTCAGCCCCTGAAGAAGGCCTAGTATGGCTAAAATGAGCTGGGCTTTTTAAACACTGAATAAACAGTTGACTATTTTAGAGCATGCGGAGCTTGTCTCCTCTCTGTTTGCTGCAAAACTTTTTTATTCACACAAGCTTTAGAATTGAAAGAGGTTTGAAATTACTGTATTGTTTTAAATTTTTATTGTTTATTGTTTTTGAAATATTTTACAGTGCATGTTTTAAATTAGATTCTGAGTTTAATTCAATTTTAATCTTTTTTCTTTTGTATATTTTTAATTGTAATCTTTAAACTGTGTAAGACACCTTGAGTCTTGGGAAACAAATTAAGATAATAATGATGGTGATACTACTACTGCTGCTGCCAATAAATAATAATAATAATAATCCCATCTCTCTGTAAAATACAATTGAAGCAGCTTATATGATAAAACGAACAATCCCGCCCCCCAATACCCCCCAAAATATAATTAAGCAATCAAAATTTAAAAACATACTTAAATATAATAAACTACATGATACAATCTTATTGCAAGCCTTTGCATCATGCCAATGCTGTGATTTAGCAATTACAACCATCCAAAATATTTTACAAATGTTTAAAATAACATTGTTCCATTATAGAAGACATTGTTTTACAGTGGTTTCACTCCTATCTACAGGGCTGGTTCAAGAACCAGCCCTGTAGAACCTAGCACTGGGGTATTCCTGTTCAGCCCTATGGCTGTGGAATGCCACGGGGTTCCATTTTATGCCATGCTGTTCTCTGTTCCATTATTGTCAATATATGCATGAAGCTGTTGGATGAAGTCATTAGGGAGTTGGAGTTGTATGTCATCAGAATGCTGATGACTTTCAGCTCTGTTTCTACTTGTCATTGAAGTCATTTGGGATTGTGCTGCACCAGTGCATGGATGCTGTAATGTTTGGATGAGGTTCACTTAACCAAACTTAAGTTAAATCCCCATTAAGGTGGATGCTCTGTGGATTGTTGATGCTCAGGTCCAGCAACTGGGTAAACAGCCTGGCCTGGATGGGATTGCACTCCTTATGAAGAAGCAAGTGCATGCCTGGGAGTACTCCCAGTTCTCTGACACTGGCTCTCCAAATGCAATCTTTGGTTGGATGCCTGATGATTTTTTTTTTTTTTGGACTGGGATAACAGTTACAGTTATTCATGTACTGATAACCTCCTGATTAGACTACTGCAAGGCTCTCTGTGTAAAGTTGTCCTTGAAGGAAACTTTAAAGCTGCAGCTAGTACAAAATACAGCAGCTCAACAACTGATTAGGCTACTAAAAAGACAAAATAAAGAACCATTCTTTAAAATAAACGCAGTGACTGCTAGTACACTTCTGATCTGAATTCAAGGTGCTTGTGATGGCACTTAAAGCCTGAGACAACTTGGGACCTCAGTACTTGAGAGCTCATCTTCCATATGTAAGCATGCTTGAGGACTGAGGTTCATGAGGGGAGGGCTACTCTGTGTCCCATAAATGAGGAGGATTACCTGGAGTCTACAGAAATATTTTTTTGTGTGTTCTGACTGGGAAAGGGACAATTATTTTGATATATAGCAGCCCTTCTACTTTTGGTTCATAATTTTGGGCACACCATCTCCCTTTGTTTCTGCATCTCTATAAGATATTTAACTGTTGTGACATATTTTCATCTATAAGAGATTTGGAAGCATGCTCCTACCAGATTTTGACCCTATAGCATGATAGCAAGGGCCAGACTCAGACTGAAAATAAATTTGTATTGGTTCAGTTTTGATACACCTATAAAAATGTAGTGGAATGTACCAGAAAACCACTGCTATCATTTTAAAACACAGATGTACTTTCAGTGTTTAGTTGTGATCTGTGTTGTCAACAGCTTTCATTAAAAAGACATAAACTCAGATGTTTTTGTTCTTGCAGTAGCTGACAGGCCTTGTTCATTTTGGAATGTCTTGGAAATATGAGCACAAGAAAAATTGTGTTTGAACATATACAATTTTTATCCCAAGACCTCAAGGGCTTCAGTGCTCCAGGGAATACACAAATTATGGTTGTATTATCAATAACTTTCCCTTGTAGTGAGAGGAATTTGATTGTTCATTTATTGATAATATCTTGCTGGCTATTTTAATTCCACACTGCATTAGAATGTGTGCTGTTATTGCTTTGGGGAAAACCACTACCTGAAGCATCTAATGAGATGATGTGAGAAATGAGAGCAAGAGAGAGTTCTGGCTTCCAAACAGTTAAACTGGTTTGTATGATGTGGAAAGAGCAGAGAAATGCTTAAATAAAACATCAGCATTGTCTTTTTAATTATCTCTATACTTTGATCGTACCATTTGGAGACTTTTTATCCAAGCAGGAAAAAAGCCTGAACTGTAGACATTGTGCAAAATAAATATTAATATTTTAAAACAGATTTGTATGAAAATTCTTTCTGATTGGCTGGTCTGATTCTGAAAGTATAAATTAATTTTAGTAAATATCTTTCCTAGAGCAATTCAAAGTGTCAGCTCACGAAGATCCAACTTATTTGCTTTAAATAATTTATCCACATATAACACTGGCAAAAACTTCAGACTAGCAATTAGAACTGTAGCAGTAAAATAGTCCCATTGTTGTAGTGCTGCCTATGTTCACTTGAGATTTGATGGGTAATATTTCTGAATGAAAGATACAGAACAGTCTCACTTGTTCATAAACAGTTCATAACACATGCACATCATCAGCTTGTTCTGCAATTGTCTCCAACTGGTGTCTTTTGCATACAAATTAGTACTGGTTCAAACATGCATACACTTGATGACTAATATCCAGTGATGCCTTATGTCTATGAACAGGCCACTGAAGATGAGTCTGCTCACAGATTCAGATACAAGTTAGAGGAATTAATTGTACACAATTAATTCTACAGTAAAGAAGAAAATGAGGAAATTGTTTCCTCCTCCTCCTCTTTTCCACCCACCATTGTATCACCAGATATGGGACATGTATACAACAGTGCTTCTATTAGGGGCCT